GATTCCTCTTAAGATTTCAGTCATATGGTTATAAGGTATTTTATTTGTTATTTGAACTTATTGATGACCAGATTTGCAACATTAGTTAACAGCGATTACTAATAGGTTGTGAGGCTGGAAAAGGTCTGACTGATTTGAACTGCCTGTGATTTGGTTCCAGATGTAACCCCCCCTCACAAACAAATAAAATGAGTCACTCCTCTAATAAATATTTACTGCCGCAGTTTTGAGTGGACGCAGGGCGATAGCCGGAGACGTGGACACTTTAGCTTATAAAATGTTTATGTTGCACTTATGTTGTTACTGTGCACTTTATGATGGACCCGTTTAATAGCTGCAACCCTAGAAATGACAGGGACGCAGGGAGGGATTTCCATAACTACCAGCTACAAGGGCATTACTCAGGGTTTTTCAGAGCCCTGGCATTACTGTTTTTTTACTTTATCTGATCACTAGCCGACAGAACGATGATGCACTGCTTGCTATTAGATCAGAGAAGCAGTACAAAAAGAGAAAGGATAATGAGTGTCAAAACATTCGGCTGCATCTGAACACACCCAGAAAACTTGGGGATTAGATCAGCGCTTTCATACATACTCCATCACACTTGAGGAAACAAACGGAGACTCCTTTTCCAGCCCTTAAGTAATGAATGCAGTCTGTCTGCCGCAGTTTTAACTCGAAAAAAGATTTTGTTTATCGCTTGATTGTGGGATTTTTCTCGCTTGTAGGATCAGAGCACTTAAAAGTTATTTTCCCTAAGCAAGAATTCCTTCCCGGTTTTCAGAAGAGCCGATAAGTTAGGGTCAAAGACTTGACGATTAACTTTAACAGCCTCAGTTCTACCTGGCAGGCATTATGTTGAGGCATGAATATGACTCATTACTCAACACTGACGGCTTGTCCGGAATTCATTAAACCCAACATGATGGAGGCGAGTCCATGACTGCAACTTATCTGAGAGGCAGATAAACAGTTTCTACTGTGACATGTTGAGACAGACTTGATGATGTGACACAAGGGATCGGCGACAGCGGCGCCTTAGTCATAGAGGACAGGCCAACTGCATAATGGAGTAGTTTTGATGCAGAGGACACTTTTTTAATTAGGTTTTTGGAGAATAGGTATATAAAATGTTGGCACAAAAACTCCTACCGTAGCAAATTAGACAAAGGGTCTTTTGAAAAAGTGCAGAGACATTCCTCCATAAACATGGCTGATGCTATACACTATAAAAATGTAAACATCACAAGAAGAATGTGACGCTGTAGAACACAAGGGTGTTGTTGTATAGACGTTATGTTTCAGGGTAATAGCATGCATGAAGACATCTGAGTGTGGTTATGTGTTTTATGAGAGCAACTTGTTGTTTTTATGCAAGCCTGACCCAGATGCTCACAGACCTTATGACCAAGGCCTCAAACCCCAGGACTCATTTCAAAATAAGAGATGATCTAACAGTGTTGAACAAAAGATACTAAGAATTCAAACACTGGCCAAAAGGGAGAAGCTTCTGACCTCTAGCTGTGCCCTCTGTGAATATTTTAAGACCGGAGCTCATTTTTGACGAGTGAATGTGTCGATGGTGGAGACAGCTTCAGACATCTGAATCTTTAAACAGAGGAAACTGTCTGACTGGGTTTCAGGAGACATCAGTAGCACAGAAAAGAGCGTGAGCAAGCAGGAAACTGGCAGGAAGCTCCGGAGTCACGGAGGAAGAAGAGGGAGGAATGGAAAGGGCACGATGTCACAGCCGCCGCTCTGATTATCTGAACTTCCTGCGGGCACCCAAACACGGAGGGCAGGGTCACTGCTGCTGACACAGTACTGCCTTCAGCCGGAGGGGAACTTCTTAGACAGGCAGCACAGAAAGGAGCTCTACTTCCTGTTTCAAAGATACAAATTCAACTCCACGAAGGCAGACTTCTTGCCAAGAGGTTCCTGAAGCTCCTTGGCTTTTATCTGACTGACATCAATAAACACCGACATGAATAATCAGCGTGTTATGTGTTCCTCCAGAGGTGTAATTTGCCAGCACATGTTTCTTTCCGTGTGTGAGGCTGCCATGTGTGGTCTTATCTAGGGCCCGATAGAATTAGGTTACAGAACATATGCTACAGATTTCCATGGCAACAGGAGTGGTGGGGATCTGGAAACATGTCAGATTCAGGGCCAAAAGGCTGTTTTTTTCTTGCCGCATCGATGCTGTTTTCCAAACAAAGCTACACTGTGAGACAAAGCATGCGTGCCAAATCTATCCGGGTGGCTCGGGGACTGTCCTGACGCTGCCCTGTCTTCACCAGACAGGCAATAGCCGGGGAGGACGTGCTGAAATAATTCAGACATAAACACGGCCACTGAGCACTGGCTGAATCCAAGTGGACCCGTTTTAATCCAATTAAAGAGAGGGGAGCCAGTGGAATGGAGCTGCGATAAACGCTATCATCCATCATGCTGGGACAATGGAGAGCCGGGGATCGACTCTGGAGAGAGCAGACTCCAACTGTAAGGGCTCCAAAGGCCATATGCAAAGGAACCCAGCAGCACTTCAGGGCTGAGATCAAAATGAAGCAGTCACATTGTTTACTTAAACAATAATAGGCTAATAATACTGTGTTGCGCTGCTTTTAAAATGAAAACAATTAGACAACAATACCCCATCTTCATCTGCTCAGTGGGTTGTAATGCTGAGAGAAACTTCACAGTTGATTCAGTACACACACACACACATCCCAAAGTCAATGGGGTCGCTGCTGGATGAAAACAAATTGAAAATACCCAAGGACAACACTGTTCCTGCCGTCTCCAAGCTAGGAGACATGGGGAAAGAAAACGTTTTATGGGACAATATATTTGAGAATAAACTGTACGAGAACGCCTGAAGTTAAGCTTGGCTCATAGTGTTCTGTTGTTTCTATATTTCATGCTCTGTCACAGCTCAGCAAAGCTTGCCTAACGTTATTAGGCTCACTCAGCAGTGTGTGTATGTGTGTGTGTGTGTGTGTGTGTGTGTGTGTGTGTGTGTGTGTGAGACAGAGGGGGAAGATATGAGGGCATGTTCCAAGTGCTGCTGCACACCGCTTCTAAAACATCTATTGTCAGGATATGTGTGTGTGTGCCTTTTGCCCCCCAGCAGGAGACTGAACGGTGTGTATCTCTGCATGTCTACCTGTGTTTATGTGCTCAGCTGACTGAGGTGGAGTCTGATGTGTGATGAGGACAGAGGCTTATTGCTAGAGAGATGCACAAACTAGGCGTCTCGATTATGGCAAAAATCATAATCTCGATTATTTGGGTCAATAATTGATATCACGATTATCCATTTACTTTGAAAACATCAATTTATTGGAGAAATGTGAACAGTATGTTTTTAACAGTTGATTACCCTGAACTTTAAGTATAATTCAACTGAAAAACCAAAAAAAAAGTAATAATAATAATGAAAAAATAATCGTTTTATTTCGATTACGTTGTTTTCGTAATCGTTGCAAGCCATAATCGTAATTGCGATTAAAATACGATTAATTGAGCAGCCCTAGCACAAACTCTAAGAGTTGACTATGATGCAAAACTACACTGACAGTAGGAGCTGCGGAGTTGAATTAATGCATGGTGCTATGGTTGATGGAACCGTTTAAAGATGGGATGAAAGCAGCCTTTCCTATATTTTAAAGCTCTTCGAGGAGTAAGTTGAGACTGCCTTGACGGTTAAATGTAGAGCAACTGTAAAGAAAGCATTGACAGCAACAAGCAGGAATAAAGAAATATGAAAGCCCAACAGGAGACTGACGCTGAATAAATAATGACACCCATTGTGGGGAAATGTGATCGGGCTCTCTGAAAATCAATAACCAACAACCGGACCGTGACGCCCTGAGTGACTCAGCAACAACTTCAATACACTACAGGCGGTCGATAACAAGTGCCTGTTCTCATTCAGGGAGACATGACCCAACAAAGCTGAACGAAAACTGGAAACGCTTCTAAACAAGTTTCCGTGAGGGCGTTCGAGAAAATCATCCTTTGGAAGAAAGTCAGTCAAAAGTGCTGGATGAGCTGCACATTCAAACTAGCTCCTTACACACTGCTGATAGGCCTTTCACTGTGTTCACAGTGACTCAGAAGGCAGAGACTGGAACAATGGATTATTGCAGCACAGTCTTGAAATACAGTAACTGAATACATTTTTTTTTCCTGCAGTCAATACTGACAAAACAAGCGAGTATCAAAAGGATGCCTCTTCCTTTAATAGTTTACTCTGATAGGCGCAAACCATGAGCAATTACACCTCTCCTGCTAGCTCAATATGAACTTTGTTCTTAGGGAAACTTTTAATAGTGAATAAGGAGTATCATTCTCACACAAATAAAAAATAGAAAGCAAGGTGTGTCTAGCAATATGTAAAAAGAGATTGTATTCATTATCACAAAGGAATAAAACGGAGTTAAAGCTTGTTTTAAAGCCTGGTAAAAAACGTGTGGCGGTAAAACGTGTCAGATAATTACACTTGGGCTGTTTTCATTGGTCTAAAAGAAGTCAGGTCAATCTATGTGTCCAGGCAATCCTCTCAGCTCTGCATGGAGTGTAGCACACTGACAGCTGTTCTAGGAGGATCCAATGGGCTGGGATTTTGGTTTTCAAATCCGGCTTACTCAAAATGTTGGTGCGTCAGATAAAAAACATCAAAATACAGGCTTTGATTAGATAAGCTTAAGTGAAACAGGGGATTTGATCCATTTCTCTAAGGCTATTGTTACTGTAAGCGTTTCTAAAAGCCTGTGGGAGAGAAAGTTGTACCTTTTCAAATGATGTACAGTTTACAACACTGTGTTCAAATACTGAAGCCAAGACAAGAGCCCCGGAAATAATGCCACTCAGAGTCACAGCTTTTCATTCCCCTGAAATACAACACCACGGGGACATCCCTATCAGCTGGCCCGCCTCCCTGTGCACTGGGAAACGTGTTGGCACCCTGCTGAGGGGACACTGCTGGCTCTTACCTGCGCTCCCGGTGAGGCAGAGGGTGCTGCTGCTGACGGGTGATGAAGGTGGTGCCCCACACCGGGCTGCTGTGGCTGTTCCTGAGCCAGCCCACGGGGGGCGAGGACGGGTACGGGGTGCTGCGGAAGCCATGGTCCGACTCTGTCTCTGCGGTCAGAGACGAGGCCGAGCTCCCCATCACCACGGCGATAGGAGGAAATAGTCTTGGAAGATGTTTGTTTAGCTTTTGGCTAAAGCACGAATGTTGACAAGGGATCCACACGTGTACTCAGTGAGACACACTGAGATACATTGAGATTAAAGGGGTTCTTTGGAGCATATCATGTGTTTGTATTCGCTGTAAACCTTCTGCCATTTTTTTTTAAAGACCTCCAAGTTGGCAAGGTAAAGAAAAAACTACAGCAACAGGGAATTAAAGATATATAAAAATGTAACTTGCAGGTGGCTAAGTATGCAGGAGGGGTGTCCCACAGTGCACAGGGAGATAAGTTCTCAATCTAAATAGTAATGTGATGCGTGTCGCACTGATTCCCATTCAGCATTCGCTCTCAGAGAGGAAGAAATGCAATTTGCTCACAGCAAAGGCTCGTAATTCTCCCTCCTGTAGACTCTAAGCTTGTAACACTCTGCACCATGTCTTGCTACTCACAATTCCTCCCGCATTCCTTCTGACACATCTCCCCAGTCTGTGCAGTCTCATGCCTGGGTCCCAGTGTCTTTGCACATGCTCAGGAAAACAATCAATTAGCCAAAGCAGGACAAGATGGGAAGCAGAAGGAAATGGTCTTTCAGCATCTCAGCAGTTTAAGGAAACACCTCCAGCACAGCACAAAAGCATTATGATCCATAAAGACAGCTGATAGTGATGGTGGCATGGATCTTGCAGGAATAAAAGTCATAATAATAAATATATCCACGGATTCATTTACAATGCGGGAACTGGAGGAAATCAATGCATTGTATTTGCTGGGAAGGGTGTTGGCAAAACTACAAGTATGCTAATATCCAAGTCTCATGTTTCAGACATCCAGTCCAACAGCTGCTGTTGTGAAAGTTTCCCAGTAAAACAGCCCAGCTGCGTTTCAGCTGGATGAAAAGTCATATTGGGGAGGTCTTTCTCAGGGGGTTAAAAAAAGAAGAAAAAGGAATCACTTCACAACCTCAACAGTTACCAAAGCATGAAAATGTTCAGCAGCAAGTTCTGTTTAAATCCGACCAAATACCGGAGACGGATGTTCCGTTCCGGGCTGCGGTGCTCTGCCAGAGATGATCCGAGTTTCCGCTGCTGTCTGAGGCTTAATGTATGTCTGATCCCCGCGCCGAGGCCGGCCAGTCTAGTTCATCAACTTGCTCTGAGATTCATGTGGACTTGCCGGGCGGTCATAGCGAGGCTCTCTACAGGCGGAGGAAACAAGTATCGCACAATTTGCCTGCATGTTTTTGACAAGTATCGATCGCTGGTAAAAAATCCCTGAGGCAAAAGTCTAAGGAGGGCGATATTCCGTGTATTGGTTATAAATTAATCATCGATTCAATTTAGCCCTCACTGCAAAGCATTACTTGGGTAAAAGAAAAGGTGTTCCACACAGCGGTACTGAGGCCACACAGGCTTTAAGAAACGCCAAAATAGCCGAAGAGGTCGCATCCAGGAAGCAGTACTAACACGCAAATGTCACCATCTTCCACCGGGTCCATCCCCAACCTGCGTTTATCTCATATTTCCTGCGATCGGGCTGTAGATGCTGAGGCTTATATTAGGCACCATCCTCGCTCCAGTCCCGCTGTCGCCTGCTCACACTGTAAAGCTGCTCCATCCCGTTTTAATGGCTCCATTTTGGGCACGTTATTTGCTGTACCCGCTATGTGTTTTTTTTTTTCTTCCTCAGGCTTTAATTCTCCCTCACTGGTAGCGTGAGCGCAGTGGCCGAGGATGCAATCTCCTCCTATAACAGCGGATTACATTACCGTGTCAGAAGGGCGCATGCGCACTGGCTGACAGAGAGGAGCTGGGAGGCTGCGTTCAAGAGATTTAAATAAACCTCAATAGAGAGTCGTGGGGATCTCACTCTTTATTGTGAATAGGATCCCAGTGGTGGATGAAGTATTCAGATGTTAGTCAAAGTACAAAAACGTTACTGTTAAATTACTTCATTCATGTAAAAGTCCTGCATTCAAAATCTTACTTAACTAAAAGTACCAAAAATACATAAAGTATTAAAAGTAATCATTGTGCAGAAAAATTGCCTTTATGTGTGTATGTAATAATATATGTGACATGTTTAGATAATTTAAGATAGCATTTTACTGTTGTAAAAAAACAAAGTTCTGATTTACTTTTTGTAAAATATTTCAATAATTGTTTCCTCCTTTCTGTTTAAAGTAGCCAAAGCTGTTTAACAATTGTAGGGCAGTAACATTACATTGTTTACTTTAAAATGTTGTGGAGTAGAAGCATAAACTATCATTACATGGAAATACGCTAAAGTACAAGTAACTCAAAATTGTACTCGAGTACAGTACTCGAGTCAATGTACTAATTTGCTTCCTCGAAGCAGGCTGGGCAGGGTGACGCAGCATTAGGAAAACACAACATGTATTGTTTACACATCACATGTCACGCTCACACCTTAATGTTTCTTTGTTTTTATATGGGTTCCTTGGGGAATAAAGTCAGCTTTCAGTGCCAGAGGAGGACGTGAAGGGTTAAGAAGAAGACAGTGGTGAGGGACTGACTGCAACACTCACCATTGCTCAACTGTCCCTGCACATTACTGAGATAAGCCTTCAAACTTTCCCTCTCCTCCCTCTGCACTTCACATCCCTTTGCTGACCTCTTTTCTGATCCTTCATGTTCTCCCTCTCCCTCTCTGAAATCAGTGTTCCCCAGCTCACTGCATAAAGCACAAGCTAACATGGCATGAAACTAGTCATGCAACATACATTTTTTAAGGTACTTTAATGCACCTAGAAGCGGGTTAACCACTGAACTACAAATGCAGTTCAAAGCTGGTTTCGCAGCCAGGTCATTTGTCAGGAACTCTGCTTAGTTTCCCAGTAAGGGCGTGTCCTTAATGCACAATTCCAAAAAAACGACTGGCGTTTCCTTGTTACACGTGTTGAGACTGAAACTGGTTTGTCTTTCAATGAAATTCCAGAAAACGGTACAGGCTAAGATATAAAAAATGTTGCTGACGTACATCTTAAGTCCTACCCTAGTTTCAGAGTGTTTGGCTGGAGTTGTAAAGAATGTGTCATACAGAAAGCTTGACACAAACAGCTGACTTGTGTTTGTTATACAACGCCATTGACTGACCAAAGCAAGTGTGGGTTGTGCAATCACATTTGAGGGGTTTAAATGTAGCCTCACCATGTCACAGCATGTACACAATTCAAAAGCAGTGGGGAAAAGACCAACAAAAACTGAATTGCGAAAGCAGGTCGTAGACATGGGAAAGCAGAAACCACACTACAAAAAGTGGACTATGTCCCTTTTGTTTAGGGTGCACCTGTCCAACTGGGCCACCTGTCCAACTGGGCCACCTGTCCCTCTGCGTCAGCTGCTGTGTCTCTGGGTGCCGATTTATAGTCAGAGTCAGAGAGTGAGAGAGATTACATTTCATTTCTTTTCTCCAGGGACATACAGGGGAATAAGGGAAAGGGGGGATGTGAGCTGATTTCACGGCGGTACATTGTAAGTCATCTCTACACAACCCAAAAGTCTTGACTGTTACACACAAAGTGACAATTCTCATAGCAGAACACAAATGATTGGACTGCAGTTCACTACCATCCAAATCAAGTAAACCTCTAAGATGTTATTTTGCTTTTACAGCCAAATCTTATATAATATAAGGGAAGTTCAGGCCTCAGATGTTCATGTTCCTGACCTTGCACTTTGACCTGACCCATCTCCCATTAAACAGAGACCTAGAAGAAACATGTTATTGTGTTATCCTGTTGTGCAGTGAAGCAGGCGGGAATAACATGAACTCCACTGCCCGTCATGTGGAACCCTGTTTAAATACGAAGCAGTGTCACATAATCGATCTATTTGTGTCCACAGTGTAAGCCTGTGAGCCCTGTCACTGCCACCAACGTTAGCTACACAGTGCTGCCAGATGAAAACGGAACAATCCCATTGAGACAGCGCGAACCGGGGACGCCGGGGACCTTGTAAACAAAGACACTCTTATTCAATCGTTTGGTCGACGTTAATGACGCGGCACCACGACCGTGTACTTCCTCAAGTCTACAAACAAATCGGTTATTCTTACCTTAAATCGGTCGAAGGGGAATTATGCCTGTTTTCCAACCGTCTGTGCGTTAACTTTTCGCAGCCATGGAGACGATAAGTTCCTCCCGGGTTGTACTTTAGCCACCGTAACCTCTCCAGGCTCTAGCTTCGCGCTGTCCGCTGCTTCCGCATGTTTCACACATGTGTGACAAACACGTTACATGTACAGTTAGCTTTCCACTTCGTCAGGTATTCACGAGACTGATGCGACCGTGGAGGTTTACCTCTTACAGCCCAGGAAGGAAGGGGAATCTCCAAGGAGCAAATAGAGAACGCACGTACGTCAAATGCGTAGCGGGTGTTTCACGTTCCTTGCAGACGCACGTAAGCGTACGTAAAGTCCATTCTGGAATGCGAGGGTAGAAAACTCAACTTCCCGTGTTCAACACGGATATTTTCAACTAGGATATCCGGGTATGAGTATCGTCACCTATGACAGACATCGACCAAATAAAAATATATTTGTATCTAAACCAAATGTTCTACATTTCTACTTAGAATTACAACAATATGGCACCACTATTGATAGAATGTATAAGAAGAAGGAAATCAAAACTAAATCAGTATTTGATATATATTTTTCCTACCGTTTGTTTGCTAATTTTCTATCTATTTGTTTTACTCTTTATTTATTGTTGTACTTTTTCACTCTGTATGTGAAACTGTGTAACCCTGATGTCAATGTTTTGTGTTTATATAATGTATGATGTACATAAGTATTTTCTTAAATAAAGGAGGGAAAAAACACTATATTTATATGTGTAATTCTATTAATTATATAAGTTCTAAATGTGTTGCCTTTGTTTACCTGCATGTATTAAATGTAATTACTTTATCGTCAATTAAAAAACAGAATAGCCTGTATTATTTCCCCATGTAAAATATTTGTATATTGAATTGTGTGATTTTTTCTTTTCTTTTTTCTTTTGTTTGCTTATATTTAAGCATACAAGTACAAGTATTGTTACCAGACAAACATCATGATGAACTAAAATCACAGAAATTCCCTTTACCTCACTGGACAGTGTCAGATTGTGGCACTCTATCGCCATCTAGTGACGCTCATTGTGAACTGCCTGATATTAACCATTGCTGTCAGCAATTTGTGGAACTTGGTCCCAAAATGCAATAAAACACACAATTTCAAGTCTTGAAAAATATTCTTGCACTCTACGAGATGCTTTAAATATGTTTCTGAAATTATAGTTGTACCTTTATATAAAGTATCCAACAGGTGTGATATGATAGAGAGGATGGGGCAGAATCCTCACTGTTATCAATTTGGGGATCCTTTGCAATGCTAATAAATATAAATTACACATAAGAACAGTTGGCCTATCCCAAAACTTAAACATGCTTATAATAACTTTACCACTACTTGTATTGCTGTTTCTATAATTGGTAATTATGCCATGGTACTTTTTGTATTTGTTTAAAAAGGAACAATGCACCTTAAATCCATCATGTAAATGTGCCATAAAAAGCCATGGAGGCACATTTTCATCTGCAGTTTTTTGTGTGCACTATGGATTTATGTGTCTCAGTTTTTCAGGTTTGGATGAATTTGTCTGTACAGACATATTATATTATATATTATCACACTTCAAGTAGTGCAGTTACTCAATGATTGCTATTGCTGCTGCTTATGGAACCACCATTACCCTGACAGCTGTAATTTATGCTGTAAGTACTATTTGAGAAAATGGAGTTACTTTAATCCATTGATCTAAAATGTGTGATTGCTTTGGAGCACTCAAACTGCAGCTAAAATTGTAAGTAGAAAATTAGTTTGACCTATTGTAGAATAACTATTATGGCCACTGCTTTTGTGCACAATGTCATCAAGGGTCTGGGGCATTGTTTGCTTTATACTGTACTCTATTAACCACAGTTCCAGGCCACACATCGACTTGTATGTCTTGGTGTATGCATGCAAGTCAAATGCCGCTTTAATTAAAGCATGTTGCCTTGTAAACTTGATAATACAAAATCTAAAGTTTTTAAATTCCTGTAATACTCTCATTAACTTTTGTTTTTGTATCAATTGGTGCGTTTAACTTATTGAGTGTATACATTGTTTAAACTTTAAGCTACAGCATGCCTACTTGACTAGTGTAGATGATATTGTAATGTTAAAGATTATGTGTGTTAGTCTTTTAAGTAATTTTTTCCCCCTTTATTCATTTTTCAGCAAACTACAAACAAAGAATGAGCCTAATTCAAGTTTATTCATAATACATGGTTGAGAACTCTCTTTAACATATTTTAAGTTAATATTTTCAGATTCCTTCAAGAAAAGTGTATAGACCAACAAGAAACCTGTCAACAAGATCATTTATAGAGAATTTGTATTTTAATATGTCACTCTGTTTACCAAATTCAACTGCCTGCTATTCTTTAAAACCATGTGTGAAATCTAAACTTCATTAGGGTAAAGAGTAGCATGTGAAACATTCAGTGAGTCTACTCTGGATTATTTTAGTTAATGCCGGTGTCACCCGGGTTGTTTGAACTGGGGAAATTCAAAGGATTAGGCCAATATCAACAGGGTCATATAGGCCTACTTCAATAATGAGATAGCAGAGTGGAGCCTAAATACCTATTAATCTCCTATTAAGATAATTTGCCAGAATTCACATGAATGTGTTCAAATGTACAAACCATTTCTAAAAAAATAAAATGAACCTAGGGTTTGTGTTAGGTGACTCGATTCCATGCGAGTTACAGTTACTTTAACCTTAATCCCATTTGGGAACAGCAAACCCTAGAGCTATACCTTTTGTCACATCTAACGTGCTTTATATCACAACAATTCAAAATCAAGTTGTTCATCATATTATTGATTTCTTTATCTGTTTTAATGATTGCTTCGAAAAATAATACCCAAATTAAAGTCCTGGGAAACCCCAGACCAAAACTATGACATTTTAATTAATGATATGTAATGAGTTCATGTTTGCCGGCATAACACCTAATTTACACAAGTGGGGATTTACTCATGTGCTTATAGTCTGTTTCTGTTTTACACGATATGCAAATTAACCCTAAACTGATAATTCATCTTTTCAAATGATCAGTTATGTCATTACTGTTTTTTTAAAGAGATTTTTAACTGAATTGTATTTTATTCTAATTGTATTTTATTCCTTTTTATTATTTGTATTTGTTTTAATTATTATTTTATTCCTTATTTATTCAGTCCTTCGTTAGTATTAAGTGTTCTTTTTAATCCCCAAGCTTGGTTTGTGAAGCACTTCGAGTTACATTTGTGTATGAAAAGTGCTATATAACTTTGATTAGATTTTTAACTATTTTAACATTTTTGTTATGATTGTTTCTTACAGTTATATCCAGTAGGTAGGCTAGTTATATTATATTTGTTGGTGTAATGAGGGTTAAAGGTTGACAAATAAAAAAAAAGTTAGCCTATAAATCTCAGTAATATCCTCGAACATGCTTTTGGGAAAAATACATCCTGCCATCCCATAAGACACACAACCTATAAATCTCCCGGATCTCAGTGATTTATCTGCAGGGCTGAGTGAGGCGGAGCAAAGCATCCTTTGATAGAAGCAGACAGAGCAGCAGAGAATGAATCTCTGGGCGGAGGAAGTTAGTGCTGGACGGTGTTCTCACTACCTCACATGTCGAGCAGTAAGGCTACAAGTGTCCACAGAGTCTACAGGAGAAGGAAATGTTAATACCGGTGTGACACACTTTTTAGCAACGCAACAAAAGTGAAGTTGGCGCGGTTAGCTAACACGGTCCGCGAAGGAAAGGAGGATTTATTCGTCAGGAAGGTATGTGAATGAATGCATCTTTACACACTGCTTTTGTCTCCACTAGGCACTTGTGCACTTGTTCGTCGCTAGGGCGAACTTATATCATTTCAGTCGCGACTTTTCTGTTGTTGTACGCTTGGGGCTAACTTTTCAGAAGTTTGCTAGCTAGCCAAAAATCTTCGTGGGTGTATTGTTTTCAGCGGCTAGTGTCGGTGCGTACACACTGTTGTCATGACAATGCTAGGGAAACCCAGCGCGAGGCACGTTGAGAAACACAAAAGACACCAGCCTCAGTGTTCAGCTTCTTTTAAGACTTTCTCAAGCTACATAAACTCGCTTAAAGTTCACTGAATCTTTGAAATAAGACCACAGTGAGAGTCACTCACCTTTACTACTCTTTGTGAAAATATATTTAAAAAAAAGACAGACAGCTTTTCTAGTTGTATGCCTTGGTATCCCGTGTCAGTGGAAAGAAGAGCACTTTGGGAGGTAAGGGGGTTAGAAGTACATTCACTGGACTTAAGTAACATTTTGAGGGGCTTTGTACTTCTACCACACACTACAATTTAGAGGTAATTCGTGTACTTTTACCCCACTTCATTTATAATAACCATTTATATATAATAATAATAATACCTTTAGTCACTTTTCAAATGTTGATTTAATGATTTGAATTATATAAATATGACACATGGAGTACATTTAACAAGCTACCCTGCAGAATACAAATCAATTCAAACTTGCTGCACCTTTACAAGCTTTGAAAACACTTTAATGCATAATTGAATGGGCCACTTTACATAACTAGTACTTTTACTTTTGGTTCTTTAAGTGTATTTTGATGCTAATACTTTTGTACTTTTACATCAGTAACATTTTGAATGCAGGACTTTACTTGCAACAGAAAATGTCTGAAACAAAACCACACTGAGAGTTATGTTAATCTCTTTTACTTCTCTTTATGGAAATATCAAAAAAGGTCAGACAGCTTTGCTAGTTTTATGCATTGGTATCCTGTGTCAGTGGAAAGAAGAGCACTTTGGGAGGTAAGGGGGTCAGAAGGATATGTGCAAACTGTTGGGCTAAGGTGTGTCCTGTGTTTATATGAGACAAATTGTGACCCTGCTAGTCAGGAAAAGGATGCTTTTAGTCGGCTCTTTGCTGTTTTACGGCCAACACATGTGGAAATGACAGGCTTCCACAGTGAGAGTGAGTAACACAATTGTCTTAGGGGACAAAGGAAAAATATGCCTTTGGGGGGGAAGGATTGCATGAGGGACAGAAATGTGTGGAGAGATGATAGGAAGGGGGGGTCAGGGTCACTTCACATGGTCATGGACTCGTGAGAGGGGGCTTTATTTATATCATTACAGATGTTACCGCACACACACGGGACGGACCGAATGAGGCAGCCTTTGGCACGAGTGTGGCATATGACGAGCAGCATAAGCTCTCACCTCTGGTGACTCATGATATTTTTTTTACAATATAATGCAAGGGAAGTTTTCACGAGTCAAGGTGCTAAAAGATGAGTCTCATGGACCAGTGCCATAGCTTTCATTAATCGCAGAGCAAGCAAAATACCATGCATAAAACACCGGGTGGCCAAAAGAACAAATACAAACAAATCCACACCAAACTCAATACGCTTCCTATAGTTGTTTCTATACATCTTATTGTCTCTAATATTTTTGTACAACTTATATATTTGATCAACCTTGGAACTTAAAAGTCATTGCCTCCAAGCTGTCAAATAAGTAGTAAATCACTTTTATTCCGTTACAGAAGGCTTGATTAATCAACGGTTCCTGATGTCTTTAAATTGTACGAATAACAGTCCAAAAGCCATCGATATTTAATACTCTCTTTAGTATTGTTGTACTACAGTACTCATTTCCATGTATTTAATTCACACAGGGGTATACAAAATGAGGCTTTAACATGTGTTATTCATTAAGTTATTTTCATAAAATAAGAAAGAAAACTTGCTTTATCGTGATATATATTATTATTGAGATATGAAATGACTTAGGTGATCTATGATTGTAGACCATAACATGTTGCCTAGCCCTATTATGTATTATTTCTATACAATATAAGTTTAGAATCAATATTCAAATACATTATTATAAATTCCACTTACAGTCTAACGAAACTGTGGATATAATCTTGTGAACGAAACTTAAAATACTAAATTAATATAGAGACTATAAAACGTATACAGTATGTTTTATAGTAGTTAAATAGAGTCATGGCATTGCTTCCAGTCATATGAATAATGCATTTAAAGTTAATGTATGGCAACATATCACTGCATCGATTATTTGTCCTGCCATGGATTTATGTCTGCTCCTGTGCTGGGGCATGCAGCCGCATCTCCTCACTCTGGCTTCTACCCGCAGGGCCTGGGAGCACACTTACAGAGACACACATCACACACACATCACATACACATCACACACACTCACACATCCATCCAAACAATCATGCACATGGGGCAAAGCGAACAAGCATACATCAAAGATACATCTGTTTCTTATGCATGTTTGATGGGACAGGCAGGCAGCGGCTGGCCACTGCTCTAAGTTACAGCGCAGATTAGTATGCATGACTAGTTGGAAGCTGAGCGTGAATGTGTGTGACTTTGGTGAGGGAGAGAAGGTACAGTCCTGATATATGAAAGGAGGAACATGAAGAATGTGTTGGATACCCTTTTTATAATTCTGTTTTAAATGATGACCTTTAAGCTTGTGACGATCAACATGTAGCCACTGTTAAGAAGTGAATAGAGACCTAGATAGAACCGCAGCATATGAAAAGCTGGGACACTAGTGTAACTATTCTCTCTTTTATCCCCGCTGTTTGATGTATTGTTGGCCTTTTTAGCTGTGAGCAGCTGGTACAAGTCTCTTTGTCCGGTTGTCAGTCGGTTGCAGACTTTGCCATTCTGGGACACGGTTTCCAAAAACTGTATCGGCCACTTTCCCAGAAGAGGATTAAGACCATCCCAAGGTCATTTAGAAGAGTGCTCAAAAAATGTATCTACTTGTTACGGTCAGATTTAGGTTAAAAGACTCATTCCAAAACATATCAGTCTGAGTTTAGAATAGTTTGTTGACTCTATGATTGCAACATCATTCTGGTTTCTAAAAAACAATAATCATTTTCCCAGTGGAAAAAATAAAACACTACTTTTCCTTTTTTTGACGTCTAACTTCAGTCAAAGTAGCTAAGGCAAAGATTTCCTTAAAGATCAATAGATTATTAAAACAACAATCTAAAAAGTTTGAAAAAAATCAAGTCTTGGAAAAACATTATGGCATGTCTTGAAAATGCTTATCTTTGTTTATTTTGAATGTTAAAAAAACTCAAAGAAATAAAGACATTTAATGTACAATGAGATGATGTAGAAAATAGTAGGTAATCGTACATTTCAGGAGATTATGTAGCAAAGTACTTTGTTAAAAAAACTGTCAGATCAATTCATTTTGATCCATCAATAAACGCAATAATTAGGGCATAAGTCAGTGTTATTGTACAGCCCGGACCACGTAGATAAACAATGTAGAAGCATGTCAAAGAAAGGTGCCTCGGTTTGCATTCCTCACGATGCACCTCACACATTAAAAAGCCTGCGCTGTATTTTCTATGCCAGGATGAACAATTCAGTGAAAGCTGGGATTGGCTGCTTATCATTTTTGAACAGTTCTTGGCCCAAACAGATACATGTACGCACATCCCAAATGTAAGTGAAGTTGACTTTCCAAAACACTCTGCACTCTGGATGAAGGGAGGGTCCCGTCGGATTGACTCGGCGGTGTGTTCCCCTCCTCGCCAGATGTTCTGCTTAATTAACACGCAGGCTCGGGGCGAGAGAAGTGTCACCACCCATACACAGTTTATCCAGGTGCAGCAGCTCTGCATAATTAGCTCGCATTAACATAAATAATATTCATTAGATTCATGGCGTTTCCTCGGGTGGGAAATAGGCCGATGTTATTGGAGGAAAAGAGGTTCATGGGCGACGATTAAAAAAATCTTGGCGTGTTGAATTTGTTCTTAAACAGAAAGTGACTACCCTGCATATTCAATTGAACCAACGTTAGACGCCAGAAGAAGAAGATAATATAACACATCTATGCCATAAGGTACATTAATCAGACATAATACAATGAGAGTCAAATAGGACCTTCATTTGGGATGAGTTGACAAAAATGGAGACCGTGATAATTCTACAAATATTCTGATAAATCACCAGATTTATGAAACTATAAAAAAAAGTTTCCGATTTATAAAGTCCACTTAAAATGACTCAAATTATAACAATGAAAACCAGGTAAATAAATTAAAATGCAGTGGTGGGAAGAAACTTTATTTGTATCGTTTATAAAAGTATAGTTTAGTTGATCTTACTAAATAGAGTTGAGTTTCAATTGGGTAATGTTCTTAGCTGAACACTGACCTATTAACACAATCCAAATGGACCATAAAATGTCAAATTAGCTGATGTAGTAAAGTTGGGTTTACATGGGTCGGTTATTGCCATGTTAATAATTGTATTAAATGAGGTCTAACACAACTCAGTTTATTGGAAATTGTTGACGAAAGTGGATGAAGTCAATCCAATACTTATGTTTTGCACTGAATCTGCATTTGCTTTCGTGTTTCTTACATTTTCTTTAGATGTCTAAGTACATAGATCCTGCATAGTAATTGTGAATACATGTATACAGGAAAGAGAAACCAAGGATAGCTCTGTTTCTTCATCATAAATCACACAGTATGACAACAACTTTGAAACTCAACACCTTCTGAGGGGCCTGCAGAGGCCCTTAAAGAGACAGAGGGAGGGGGACGGACATAGAGGATGGACAAAAGACAAGCCTTTGGTTTGAGTGATTGTACTTCCTGTACATATCCCGAAACATCAATGAAACCTCCGCTTTTAAAATGAGTAATGATTATGATGAATGAGGGAGAGATAGCACGCCCCATCTGATCATTCATCACTTCTCTCTCTCCCACATATTTGTAGGTGTATGCTGCCAGGCTAACACATGTGTGTATGAGAGCCAGGGGTCACACTGTAAGAGGAGGACCGCCGACCCAAACCTGGGGATCCAGCGGAGCCCCGGGGTGCTGGAATGGAGCAACTCATGGAGTAAGAGCGATTTTTTGTTTTTTGACAGGCGCTTTTACACAGAGCGTTAACATGTTTTATTGTGTTTACTGAATGAACTTCCTGTCTCTATTTTGGGGCTTCCTGGAACTGTTGTTGCCCACGCTCCTGTTGTGAGCGTAGCATTGGGACTGCAGAAGCATTTTCAGCCATATATATTGCAGATTTATTAGCCCGTTGTATCTCCTGGATATTGTAAAATATGTCTTGCAGAAACAATGCGTGCCTCCAGCCAGTCATTTCATTGATTTGTTTGTTTTCTAAAATCAATTTTGAAGGCAGAACTTTAAAGACTCTGATTTAGAAGGTTTGTTATTCAGGGTTTGCATGAGGTGAGGACATTTAAAGAGAAGCAAGACTGTAAAGACTGTCTGTTTGAATAACAACACGGACATGGACTTCAATTCAAAACAAGCCCAGCCGCACTGTTCTTTATGGACACCTCTTCTGGCAGAGACACAGCAGATGCTGTGTATTTCACCTACTTGTCTCTCACTGTTTTGATAAGACAGGTTGATGAGGTGCTTGAAGGTTTACAGCCCAACATGTCTGGGCATTTTGAAAGCCTGGTATTTCCTTTTCTTTTTTTTTCAGCAAAAACCAAATGTATGATTAGATGAATGGAGTTTCTGGAATTTAAGAGTCACACATTCAATCTTAAAGTCACAGTGTGGCAAGAAATCAAAATATACCATCATGAATTTGCACAAACAAATCCTTCAGAGGCACATACACACACACACACACACTGCTGAACACAAATATGTTTTACTCAATGTCTCCCTCCTTCTAAGAAGCTAGCTAGTCAGCAGAATAATACAAAAAGCCTGGATGTGATGCCACAGAGGAGCAGTAACCAATCTGCCTGTGTGCTGTGGGGGATGGGCAGCTGATTTATCTAACCCTACATACCTCCAGACCTCCTTTGTGAGGGAACAATAACAATCAACACTGCTACACTTAATATAGTCTGATTGTCTTTCTATATCTATCTGTAAGGGATACACAATATGGATTTTTTTCAGCAGATACCGATACAAATGTGCCTCTTATAGTATACTGATAAATAAAATGATTATTTTGCATTTTAAAGAGTAGTTCATTAAATTACATTTCATTTAGCTGACGCTTTTATCCAAAGCGACTTACAATAAGTGCGTTCGATCAAGAAGATACAACCTTGAAGAAAACAGAATCATAAAGTACATCAGGTTTCATAGAGCCAACACATTTCAAGTGCTACTCAACTGGCTTTAGGTAAGCCAGCCCTTTGTTAGTATATAAGTGCTTTGCTAGTATGTAAGTGCTTAGTTAGTATGTAAGTGCTTTTTATTTTGTTTTATTTTGTTTTGTTCAAAACCTGTTGATGCACACAGAATGATAAGAAGGGCAAAGGTGTAGTGGTCAAAGATGGAAAACGTAATATTCCATAGCTCTTAACAAACTCCAGCCGACACCATTGTTGTTAACATAAGAAAAAGTAAAGTACATTACAAATAATTCCTCTGTATATCTCTCCAGTGTTGTCTTCCTCTATCAGACTGGATAGACACTGCACTTGTTGTATCAATGAAAGGATTTTGTCTTTGTATTAATAGTAAATATCCGAATAAAATGTAATAATATACATTTCCCATTATTGGCTGAATTTATCGTCATTCATCTATCTAACAATTTCCAAATTTGAGATCAATACAGCTTATCTAATCTAAATCTAGCTTTGTGTCGGTCTCAAACTCAACTTTCATTGTTTGTTGTTATTCTCCAAACCCACTTTTCTCCTTTCCCTGCCTCCCTTAAACATGTATACATCCCTTCCCTCTGTGTGCGTGGTGCTGTGGCCGAGTGTGATAAGAGCTGTGGGGAGTTGTATCTTATTGGCTCTGTTGCACGTCCTCTCCTCTTCTTCTCTGCACATTCTGCAGATAGCAGAAACAGGTCTGGCATTGTGTCTCTGTGTGTGTGCACTGTGCATACAGTACACTTTCTGTGTGTGTGTTTATCTATGGCTCAATATTCTACTGTGAATCACCCACTTCTTGTCTATCATTATACCTGTGTCTCTCACCGGCGGAAGTGGATGTATAATTCATACCCGAGTCTTTTCCTTCCTCCTTCTCGCTCCACCCCGACCTGTCAACTGTAACTTTTCATTTACGGTATTTCAGCACTACCCCCCCCCCCATGTGTTATGCACTGTGACGCACCAGTGATTGTTGAATCACCTTCGTCATTATCCAACGCCCCCCCCGGCTCCTATGCCAACGTGACTCCCCCTCTCTAATGGTGAGGTTGCGACCTGCTGCTTAAGATCCTGACTTGCGCAACTCCACTCTCCATTCGAGCCTGTGACTCATGGTGAGTCATGGCATCAGGGAAAGTAGCTATAAACGCACCTGCAGGCAAGTGCAACTACAAATAGTTGTACACACAGTGCATGCGTGCACACACCCTCCGTCTTGTTGGACAAACTGTGCCACAGTCCCAATGTGATGACGTCCACAGTGGAGTGTGTGAGTGTATCTCATGTCAATTTGGGACATCGCGTGTCATGGTTTGTCCTCACTCTCTCTTTTTGTGTCCAAGTACACACACCGACACATAAACACACACTATTTGTTATACTCATCAACACAATTGTAATAGGGTTTGTCTGCTTCAGATAGGAAGCTTAAGGCAGAACCAGTCATTGTTTGACAATCAATGCATTCAAATTAGCGTTCTGTGGACTCAGCCTAGATAAGATAAGGCCGGGCATAATGATGAGGACGGTTCGGATGTGCGTGGTGAATTGAGTGTCAGGAGTTCAGCCACTAGAGGGTGACACAACCATTAGTTATACTGTGAAAAGCTGAGTGCACAGAGTGAATCATGTTATTATCTTCATGTGAATTCAATGGTGACTCTCGTAACTGCATCATTTTACAATGCTACTGTAAACTGCCTCTAAAGGGTGTTTTTTTTGGTCTTGATTTAAATGTCACACTGGCCAAAATGTCATACTTAAAGGAAAGAACACTCAAACTATTTCTCCTTTGGGAAACCATACCGCTGTCTTTTTGCACGTTGTTTCAATAATGCATCTCTCTGTCCACAAATGGGACAATAAATGACATTTAATCAAGAGTGCATATCTTTTATTACACTCCTTACTGGAGTCTTTCATCGAGAGAAAAATCTGAGTCCCTATTGTTTAAAATGTCCTTACAAAATTGACTACAAAATCAAATTTAAATAATTTGTTTCCATTACATTACCTGATGAAATTGATAACTCTTGTCAGGAATGTGAATAAACTAGAGAGAAGTTGAACGTTTTCTTTAGTTTTATCTTTTAATTTGTCGAAGTTGGAACTGAAACGTGTGCAAACTTGTGATTCATGTTCCCTTGGCCACACTAAAAGTCTCATCATCATCATGCTGTCCTGGATTTAAGCCGTGCTGAGTTTCTTGTGACTGATGGAGCTGTGTGATCATTGTTAGGGTCAGTTTTCACTGGATACAGTAGTAGCAGTAAAGCTTTCAGCCTGACGAGTCTTAAAAACTGACATGATGTCTTTCTCATGAGCCTCATCGAAGCTTAAGATACAGCCAACAAATAAAAGAAGATGGCCGTCACGCAGCAGCAGCTTTAATATCTCATTAATGTCTCCTTTGGCTCTGCTCACATCAGAATCATCTGACTGTACAGCTGGCCAGAGCAAATGTACCAGTCCCTGTTTCAACGGATTGAATTACTTGCACTTGAGGTTAAGCTGGCAGAAATCTGATGAGGGCCAGCTTTGGATTTATTCACACGCCTTTGAAGGAATCTGTACGGGGAAATTGAGCTATTTGAAAAGGAAATGGCCACCGTCTGTAATGGCATTGTACAAAGCACTTCAGGAAAACCAGAGGCACAAGGCTGATGTTAGAAAGCTGTCATCTAGAAATCAGACTCCTCGGAACCCCTATGTGACTTACAGGGTCAGTAAGTGTGGACAAAGGAGAAGGAAAAGGATGTAAAGTAACAGAGTAGGTACAGGTAAAGCTCACTTAGGCTGCTGTTTGTGTCGTTGTCATATACATTATCAGGCACTTGCTTGCTTTCGTGTGGCTTTTACTGCAAGCAAATAGATTAAAGTGTTTGTCTTTAGGTGTAAAGATATGTATTCCTAATCTTTACACGGACAAGCTGAGTAAATACTATCTGGTGCAGAGAGCAGGTAACCAGAAGGGCTTTAATTGGTCACCTGGGACTGAGCTGTCAGACTGAATGCAGGGCTGCGTGATTACTACTTCGAGCTCTTTACACTGCGGACATATTTGTGGAGACGATTCATGGGTGCTCTAGCTCTCAACATGTTGGTTAAGGAGTGAGTTCTAAACCAAGAAGTGAGTTAGCCTTTTAGTTTGCTCATCTCAAACTCAACAGGTTTTTGAATGAGATTTTGGTTGGACGCCTGAAATAAGGTCTGTCTCTCTCCTATTCTCTTACAAGATGTTCACATTTTCTTCTATAACATAACATTCTTTACCCCAGTTGTGAATAATTAAGAGTTCCAAAAAAAAAGGCTTTCGCTACAAAGTGACTAAACAATGCTATTGGCATCAGAGTTTGCGGTTGTGGTTATGCAACCGTGATGTAGTTAGTCAGCTATAACCAGTGGTGTAGTGGGCGTTGGACGCGGGGGTACGCCGTACCCCCACTTATTTGGAGCATGATCTTTTTTTTAAGTCTAATAAATATAAAATCATTGCCAGTGTTATCAGTTGCAAGTGTGTATTTGTTGTAATAATGACGAAAACATAATACATTTCACAGTAATTATAATAAAAAATAAAAACGATTTCCTTAAAAAAGTATGATTCATCATCACGCTCGTGACCCTGCGGTCACTGACACACCCACGGCGAGCCAGCTCGCCGATTTTGCGGCAGCTCCTTCCCTCAAGAACACTAACGAAAAAGCTCTATAATGGCAGGCTAACATGTTTTACTTGA